CGGTATCCACAACTGCCAGAAAAGATGCGCTCTACAAAAAACACAAGAAGACAGATCGGAAACATGATTACATATCTCCACTGAAGAATCAGGGACATCTGTTTACTGGAAGTAGGTATCACAGTAAAGCACATTATTGCATAGACCGAATAATTCTGTCCCATATAACCTTTTTTATATTTTGGTGATGGTTATTGGGACAGAACGGGGTTCATTGAAATTTTGTGAGATCGCATGCAAAATGCATGCGCTGCGAATGCGGCCCGTACGCCGCTATTGGCACGGAAAAAAACCTACCGTTCCCTTCTACATGGCTTTACCTTGCTACTGATATGTGTATACATTCACTTCAATCGTTATTTACTTCTTAAAAGATCGTTTTTCAGAAACCCGCTTCATTTAACTTTAGTAAATTACGTTCGCCATTTACAAACAATCAGACCAATCAGAGCGAGACTTACAATAGCCCCTGGTTCTCGCGTGTATCTGTGGCGCTGCAGGAGGGCTAATAGACTCGCTCTGATTGGTCTGATTGTTTGTAAATGGCAAATGCGATTTACTAAAGTTAAATGAAGGGGGTTTCTGAAAAACAATCTCTTAAGAAGTAAATAACAATTGAAGTGAATGTATACACATATCAGTAGCAAGGTAAAGCCATGTAGAAAGGAACGGTAGGTTTTTTTTCGTGCCAATAGCGGCGTACGGGCCGCATTCGCAGCGCATGCATTTTGCATGCGATCTCACAAAATTTCAATGAACCCCGTTCTGTCCCAATAGCGCTCACCAAAATATAAAAAAGGTTATATGGGACAGAATTATTCGGTCAAATTATTGCGGTTCCTGCTGCACCGCGAGTGAGAAAAAGCTTCCCTTTCAACAGGCGAAATTAGCACCAAGATTATTATTTTAATGGGGAAATTATATACCATTTGAAAGCTGAATGTATAGACTCTTGATTTATGATATTTTCATTAAAATATACCATTCACTCGCAGAGGTATTAGACCCTGAACACTCTGCTAGCTGGGCATATATTACGTCTTTCGCCAGCCATTGTGAAAAGCCATCGTTGCAAGGGGATANCCAAAATATAAAAAAGGTTATATGGGACAGAATTATTCGGTCTAAGGTAAAACCAACACCTGGATTAGTTCGTTCCTGTCAGATCGAATGCAGACAGTCGTCGTCGACGGAGAGAGATCTGACCCTGTAAATGTAGAATCAGGAGTCCCGCAAGGTTCAGTGCTTGGACCTTGCCTGTTCCTGTTCTACATAAATGACATCCCGGAAGATACACAAGCTACCGTTCGACTTTTTGGCAGATGACACATTGATTCATATAGCTCTGACTAAACCACAAGATTCACAAATACTGCAGAATGACTTGGACCAACTAGCAGTCTGGGAAGACAAGTGGATGATGAAGTTCCACCAAGACAAATGTCTGGTCCTGACCATCACCAGGAAACTCCAACCAACCTGTTACCCATATGCTCTACGCGGACATACCTTAGACGTGGCCACATCAGCCAAGTACCTGGGTGTCACACTAACATCAGACCTTCGATGGCACAACCACATCAGCTCAATCTGTAGTAAAGCAAATGGAACCCTATCATTCCTGAGAAAGAACCTAAATATTTCCTCAATGGAAGTTAAGTCACTTGCCTATACCTTATTGGTTAGGCCCACGGTGGAGTACGCCAGCACGGTATGGGATCCATATCAGGCGCAGGACTGCAAACATCTTGAAATGGTCCAAAGACGAGCAGCGAGATATGTCTCAAACCGCCACCACAACAGGTCGAGTGTTACTGACATGCTTGAAACACTCAACTGGCCGACGCTGGAGTCAAGACGAATGGTTGCCCGTTTGGCTATGATGTACAAGCTCGTCAACGGCATGGTCAACTTGGATACCAACAACCGTCTGATACCACCTACTCGAAGCACCAAGAACATGTCAGAGCACTCTTTTCAAATCCCATCCTCCAGATGTGACTACAGGAAAGGCTCCTTCTTTCCCAGGTCTATTACAGAGTGGAACGCCTTACCCACTGAAGTGGTGACAGCCGAAAATCTATGTTCCTTTAAGTCTCTGATTACTGCCTAAACGACATCAGGGCAGTTTTTTAAGTAAAATTTGCTTTTTTTGGTTTTTTTCTTTAGAAAATCATGGAAAGGAAAATTTTATTTTAGTCTCAACAAGCGCCTCCCGTTGGCATAATCATCAGTATGTTGATGGTGGCCAATATAGCGTAGAAATAGCGTAGAAGTAGAAGTATTTCCCTTAACCTACATTTTTCAGTTCGGACTCTTATCATAGCGTTATAATTAACCTCCTATATCATTAATTAAATCCCCTGGGTATGAATATTTGGTGCATTTTTTGATTACTTGGTTGCCTATTAATCCCCTCGATCCTTTCTTTGTTTGTGAATTTTATATAACCATTATATTTGTTTTGTTCATATTAAATTCTAATCTTTTTGATTCAGCTAATCTGGGGCTAAACCGACCAGGTTCTCCGACTGTTACACGTCGTAGGAACAGTAGCCAATGTAGTGTTAAGCGACAAAATATAATAATCTCCAATTTCTAGAATATCTTGAACATCCCCGCGGTCGCGTACGCATATCCCGCGGAACTGCGCGTCTCATCCGCGCGCAGCGCTCAGGATCAACAGCAAAGCTGTGCCACGCAAGCTTGTATCATGTCTCTCTGGATATAGAACTGTTTGTCCAGCAGCCTTCATCAGATAAATGAAATTGCACAATATTGTTGCTTTTAATTTTATAGTACTTTCATTTTGGTAGTAGATGAGTACGTAGTACTATTAATTTCGAGAGAGCATATGCTCCATTTCTTTTAAGAATCACATGGTGCCTTTAGCTGTACCAATTACCTGTGCTAAACCAGAAGACCTGTGTTTGCGTATCTGTTAAAAAGAATTATATTTTAATAAAATTGTACTTTTAGATTAGAGAGTAGATACTCCTCGCAAAGGTTGCGTCGAGCCAGTGGGCGCAAGGATGTCTGTAGCCGCCCACCCACTTTCGTTGGGGAAAAATTAGTAACTCGTCGGGTGAATTAACGTTGTCCCTTAGCTGCGGGTGTGGTAGCTATCCAGAGTAGTACATATAATGGATGGTCTCATTACGGCGGCCATTGCATAGATATTATATATATATATATATATATATATATATATATATTATATATATATATATATATATATATATATATATATATATCGTATATATATATATATATATCGTATATACGGTCTGTATGAGCCATTGTAACAGCTTTTGCAACAATTTTGAATTTGGATGTTGTCATTTTTCTTACCTTTATATGGTATGGTTGTTTGACCTTAGAAGGTATACACACACTAATGTGTATAGAGATATGTAGGCTTATGATTGCGTGGATGATAACAGTTACAGTATGTAAAAATTTGCAGGAATCCAAAATATTGAACACCTGAGCCGGGATCAGGAGGCAAAGTAATAGAAATCTTTAATATTTTATAAAACTTGCAGTATGTTATTTACGAAAAGAAATTCGTTTACCGTCTAAAATTACTGCATATAGCGTACTGTTATAGCATAATGAAATGTTGAAAGAGGTTGAATATCGAATTATACTGCATAATGTTTACAAGTGATTTACGTACTTATAATACAAGTTATTTGTAATTGGCTTAAAACACTAACCACGGAAACTGTATATTCAAATGCTCTAAGATAAATATTAGTTTAAATTAGGCCTTGCACGTATAATAACTACTTGGAAACAGCTGAACTATCGCCTTAGACGGGCCAGCACATTTTAAACCAGTATTCGCAATATTACTAACTGAACGTCTGCCCCCGCCCTTCCGATGCAAGTTGTGACACTGCTGATTATGAAATAAAATTCACAGCATTCGATATCGTTTTACCGTTTAAAAAATGCTTTCTATACTAAATGAACTATTTTTTATTCCATAACAACAAACAGGTGTATCATGTTAACAATATTTCCTTCTATTATTCATATATTTACATATCCACGACCAGCAATGATAAGGAGAATTTATTTGTGTCGGCCCAATAATAACTCTAGTGTCACACGCACGCACGCACGCACGCACGCACGCACGTACGCCCTCATACAATCATACACACACGCTTAGACACATGCCCACATACTTACACCTCACATCGAAAATATCATTATATCAATTTGTAGATGCCGAGTCTGTTTAACATACTACATAAACGAAACTTTGATAGATGGATGTTCACACATGACAGTAATTATTAAATAGACGAATTCCCCTTTATAGGTTTTCCTGCAGTATCACGTACACAGAGTCTATTTTGCTAGAAAGACCTTTACCTTCCTTCATACATAGCGCAAATTTGTGCACATGTCGTCGCTATACTTCCATAATAATAGTTTATGCATATATGCAATCCAAGATTGCAAATTAAACTCCCACATTAATGATTACATATGGTGTTTTTGTTCATAAACCTACTATATCGACTTTTCTTGATATTGTGATGCAGCAGAATGAATGATAGAATGCATGGCCTATGCACCATCGTCAGTCAATTATATTCGTCGTATAATTCGGTAAGCTCGTGCTTAAGTTCGTACAACGTCGAACATGGATGCGTATAAGCAGCAACAACCATGCGCGCATTCCGAACAGTCCCGTGATACGATCTAGACTATTCTATACGTTATTTATATTCCAAGTTTCCATGGAGACCGCTTATCATAACGATGCATTGGTGCGAATATGAGTTATTGGAATAGTACGCAGACTCCGAAAACACGCTCGGTGTCCAAACGATGATGGGCAAGATTTCTAATATTCACGCGTCACGCGGCGCGAAGGAAATAATAACCAGCTTCCGAAACTACTAGAAGAATCTCAGTAGCTCGACGTGAAACACATCCCCTTTAAAAGCGCGCACCTTCGGTGTGATTTTCAGGCGCTTCGCGCGACGTCCCGGCTAGCGCGTGGGCAGTGCTGACTGCTATGATGACGGAACTGCATATATTCGCGACAGGCGGTCCGGCAAGAAAGCAGGTACATGTATGTATGCGAGACCAATAATATCGCTTCCACGCAGTGAGAGAAATTTAATTGCATATTGTTGCTGACCACCATCAACAACAGCTGGTGTAAACCGATAACTACGCGTGCGACTATATAAGCGGTCTACATGGAACTGCTATTATTGCTGAGAACATGATAAATCTGCTAGTCACTTTGCTGGTACATGTGACATATTTATGAAACACACTGTTATTGATATATAATATAAAACCCTAGCTGACCACGCGTCGACTTAATACCGAGACAACATTACTAATCAAGGCAGAAATACAAATATAATTAGAGCACAAGGTTATACTAGTTATCATTAGAGTATAAACATAGTGCGTATTACGTATATACACAATTATGAATGAATATAATTACACTGGGTTGTACAGCTACACCACGAGAAGGTCTTGTAATATTTACAGAGTCTTGCATATGTAACGTTTACAGCCGTTTACACAAGCTAGTACAACACCGGAAGTCCACCTAGTGCGGCTCATCAGCACTTCGTTATTACTGTCTCACATTTCCTTTTATTTCTCGCTCCTTTCGGTCGATATCGCTCTGCATTGCTCACACTCGCTCACTCTTCATTCCATTTCCTCTCACATCCCTCTCGCCCATGTCCGGACGCATACATAGAGTGAGCACTTTAATGCTAGTCTTTGCTACGCGCTCTTCAGAATCGACGCTATATCCGTACGCGCTTACTTTGTGCTCGTATTCAATTTTTCACTAATAGCGTCAGTATTAACTAAAGCTGATTTCATCACGTAGGTTCAGAGTGATTTGACAGTCGATGGCAACATTAGAGTCACTGTATTAGACGTAGTGAATAGCGTATGGCACGTATGTGCACACACTGTCAACAGGAAATCTATAAGACTAGCCATAATTATTTGAATGCAACAATCGGCCGACTGGGCAACACGTGTAGTTCAATGATCGACCGCGAGGAGCACACTAATTTAGCCGGCACGCATTCTACAGAAATAACTCTTGTGTGTTTCCGCGGTATTAAGACTGAGCACACGCGGGGCTTGTCAGTGGTTATAGTGCTGTCGGATGCTGTAAACTTCAATAAATTTATAAAACATTGCGAATAGTTTTACTACGATTACATCAAGAATGACAGCCGATTTATTAGCTTAACCGAGGACCAATATCATCTGCACCCATATGGGTACCCATCTCGTATACATAATAATGATGAGTGTGAATATAACCCACATGTAGATTGGCGTATACATATTTATATGGAGATATGCGCGACTAGATGGAAATTCACTTTATCGCCGGGCTCTTCCATGAAACGGGCAATCCGTTCAGCAGTCATATGCTGGTTGACGTCAGGGGAAAGCAGACGCCATTTTGTGTCGATTTCACTATTTCGATCAAATCAATGGCGATAACTTTGTTAGGATAATGACGTATATTCTCATCTCCAATGAGCGAACGTGTGATGACACCGGTTGAATGAGGATCGTGGGGGCGAGTAGATGGAATCCGACATCCCCCGCGGGACATCATGGCAGTGCTGCCTCACGACGCCGACCCGCCTCTCACTAGTTCCAGATAGAGTTCAGACTGAAGAAAACGCCCGTAGGAGTCCTTTTCCATGAGCCCGACTATCCGCTTCTGGGCCTGGTCAAACGCATGCCGATTCGGGTTTGCCAGATTGCTCACCGTTGCTGCCCTGGTGATCGAGTCGAGGTTAACCTAAGACGGAAAAAAATTAATACAGCTTTGTTTAGAAAACGCACTTCCGACAGCTATAGTAAATCCCTTTTATGCAGAGAGACTCAAACATAAATGTGCGCAGTGCGTAATCTAGATAGCAGGTAAGCTATACAGATACAATATCGTGAAGCTCTGCATCTGTGGCCAATATTTTAGCTTATAATATCTAGAGCCTTTGCTAGTAAATGCCCAGGGACATTGGATGAAATAGGGTGAATATTGATTACAGGCTGTTCCAATAAGAACATCGAGCGATTTCCATAACTTTCATGCCGCATCACTGTTGATGGCCTGCCCTTATATATACACACACACACGCACGAATGCACCTGATACGTAATCCATGCAGAACGATATGGAAAACATGCAGCGAGCATATAGGGGACTCATATGATGGACGCCCACATATCAAACAGACCCTCGCGCACACATGGAAAGTTGTTTTGGGAGATTGTAATGGAAAACTGTCCCCACACCTCTTGGTGGGCGCGTGTACTCATGCCTGCTGCCGCAGACGCCCACTGTATGGCAAGTTTGAGATTGTACCTCCTTTGGTGCTTGTATCGCAACAAAGTCTGCGAATATCTTCTTAGCCTTGGGAGCGAGCTTCACCGCCTTTGTCTTCTTGTACTCCTCACAGGCTATCCAGAATTCTAGGTTCTCCTCGCTGAACTCTGACCTCAAGAATACCCGAAACAGAGACAATCCGTCTGCATAAAAACAGAAGGCAAGTTTTTCAGAAAATACAGTCACTCAAGCACACAAAGCTATATATGCGCGCGCACGCATGTACGCACCTACGCGCACACGTTCCATAGTCGGCGCGGCATACGTATACGCCACACAATAGTAATTAAACGCCTTTCCCTCAACCGGCATCGGTATCAGAAGGGAATATAATACCATTAGACTATGGCATCAACAGCTGATAATACATGTATTATGAATTATGTATTATTAGCTCTTGAGATCATCAGGAGTGAATAATTTGTTTTCATTGATTCCTGCATGCGTCGGAATGCTCCTGTTCACCCCTGTTTGTCCCTCATGCGATCTGACGACGACATAGCGAAGGGGATAAAGAGAACTTATAGAAGGGAAATGTGAACGATTTAAATAAGTGAAATAACATTTGAGCTGTAACAAGTTTGGTCAGCATAAGATCTCCTCTTCCACACACGGTATACTGTTTCATATATTGTGCATGCGCAAGTGGCTGCACGTTATTTTAAATGGGAACCAAATTTCTACGCTATACCAGCAGTCCACGCATACACGCCCGCCCGCACGCAAACTCGCCTGTCCACCCGTTCACACGTGCCTGTCACACTTGCCTGTAATGCGTTCATACACGCACGTAGGTACAAATGCGCGCATGCACGCCCCCCCCCCCCACACGCACACAGATACACAATACAAACACACGGCCACAGTAACCCCTGAAAGTGTAAGGTAGTACGAAATTGATGCACTGAATGACAAACTATCGCACTATAACACTGCATTAGTAGCCATACATTAGTAAGGAACATTAGGAGATTAACTAGACTATCATGTCCGATAATGGCCAGCGCGTTTCTGAACGTACTATTGCAGTTGACCACGCATTCATATCAATATAATCCGGATTTTACCTCCCGAGTGATGCACATACCGCAGTCAAGTGAACATTGGACAGACAGCGCACATAGAATCCTACGATAAACTTATATGAGTAATTTAAGAGAATATATTACGGAAGAGTTGGATACCCCTAAATGAGGTAATCATGCATGCCTTAAAGATTTTCATTTTGAAATTTCTGGAAACGTTCGTGATTTTCGTCATCATGCCATTGTCAGTGAAACGGTGGCAGCCGCCGAGTTATGTTACTGAGAGAGTTAGTTACTGAGAGATGCCCCCTAACTTTATCACCCGGATGGCCGGCAAGCGTAATAAAATGCTCCTATAACGTGTCATGCGTAAACATTATAACCTACTACACACGCGCACACACAAACACACACACATTGGCGCGCACACACAAACACACACATTGGCGCGCACACACACACGCGTACACACGCATGCACATGCACGTGTATACGCACATAGCGCTCCGCACACACGCACGTACACAGGCACACACGCACACACACACGCACACGCTTAGCGCTCCGCACACACGCACACACACGCGCGCACACGCACACACATATACACACAAACACACACACACACACACACACACACACACACACACACACACACCACCCATCACACACACCACAACAGTCATGCCCTTGCTGATCAGACAATCGATCCGGTTTCTTCCATCCATACTAACGTGCACGTATTTGGGAACGTGATCGCTGGGCCGAGCTTCCGCAATCAGTCGTGTGCAAATAAAGCCGTATAGGATTGTTTCAGTTGATGAAGGTGCCCTTGCGACACGCCCCTGCTCCCACGTCAACAGCGATCGTCGCTTTAATTAAGTACTTTCGTCTCCTTATAGGATGACGCGGGCAAGTAAGAGCGAGTTTTTGACTTATGGAGCCGTCTTTGGACATCTGCGTTCCGTGAATGCGCGCTGGCCGTTAGTCGCATATACGGCGAGGGCAACTGTAGGCTTGGGCGATCGATTGGCACACAGACGTCAACGATAAGAAGGGTGTACCTGTCGTACATACCAAGTATATATATATATATATATATATATATATATATACTATATATATCAATCAGATCGAGTCTCCTCGGAAGAATGGTGATGGCATGCCCAAGATGGTCTGTGCAGCATAATTGACCGAATTTCATCGGCTGACTGCAGGCCAGTATCGCGTCTAAGTTGTCGATGTACGTCAGTCGCTGGCCGCCCCGAGAAGCCCGACCCTGTTGAGGTTCCCAGAGAAGCAAGTCGTGCGCGGCAACATTATTTGTTGGACACAGTGCCCCGCCAAACGCAATCTCTCGATCGTATCTAGGGAGAGTGGTGGTAGTTCCCCATAAATCACCTCATTCGGAACACGATCCTGCCAGGTGACATTACATACTTTTCGGAGCATACAAATATATATATATATATATATATATATATATGTATTAGGCGTGTACGTGCGTGTAGGTATATTAGGTTAGGTATATATTAGCAGGAGTTAATAAAGTTATTAACTCCTGATATAAGCTATATATATATATATATTATATGTGTGTGTGTGGTGTGTGTGCGTGCGTGCGTGCGTGCTGTGTGTTGTGTGTGTGTGTGTGTGTGTGTGTGTGTGTGTTGTGTGTGTGTGTGTGTGTGTGTGTAGTACAGTGTTTTAGCCAGACAATTAATTAGTAAATCTTCAGGACGGCCGCGATAAGCCCAGAAGACATTAGCTGCATACTTAAGAGTGGACATAAATTAACGTGACAGAAGGCATTGCAAAATTGTCATTAAGGGGTACCTCGGACGGTAGTCGCGACCGGTCGTGGTACAACGACCCTTGAATTGACACTAACGAGGAAACAGGTCGGACGACGATAGATACAGATAAAAGACAGGGGTTTTGGTAGAAACGGGAGAGACGTCGACGTACAGCTGACTGGTATGTGTACATGTTGCTATCGCTGTTTACAATAAAGCTATAGTTGTCACTGTTTACACAACTGTTACGTTCTACTGTCTACGAACCGATATTCCACTCTACATGTGTGTGCATGTGTATTTGAGTGAGAGAGTGTGTGTGTATGTATCTCTGTGTGTGCGTGCGTGCGTGTGGAGTGCGTGTGTGTCGCGTGTTCGTGTGTTAACGGTTTTTGTGTGCATAAACAGGTCGAATTTTTATCGACTTACACTTATCGTGCAGCAAGGTTGTCCAGATCTCGCCCATCCCAGCGCCACCTGTCGGGAAGGTCGCGGCGGAGGAGGAAGAAGAGGAATTCTCTCTCCCGCATCTCTCGTACGGTGTCTCCATGTTAGAGCGGAGTCGGTGTGACGCCGCGCCAGGAATCCCAGCTTCTCCTTAACATCCTTCGCACTGAAAAATGTCGGTTTACTCTCAAGAGACGTTCTTCTCGTATCTGGATCCATGAGTGTCAAGTGCGAATCGTTCTTTTTATGGCTATATACTGTATATATATATTTATATGATTTTTACGACGTCGGGTTGCGACACCTATCCTAACGGTCACTAGCAAACGCAGTCGTTACGGCAACGTGATAACGTTGTTAATTCGAATCGCAACTGCCACGATAGCAACTCTCAGCCACCGGGCACGTGAACGAGAAGTGTAGATGTTGAACGCGCAACCAATGCGGCGATCAATACACGCACAACACGCCAGCACCTCGCACTAGTTCTTCACTCTTAGCTACTAAGGCCCAATGGCAGTCAGTAGCCGCGTGAGCAGGAGGAATACGGAGATTCGCAGCCACAGATCGCACATATAGAACTATAGGCAGCCTTTCACCGAATCGCTAGAGC